TGTGTGTGTGTGTGTGTGTGTGTGTGTGTGTGTGTGTGTGTGTGTGTATTAGTTATTGGTCATAAATCAAATTGTGTTATCATAATAAATGTGGCATCTTTGTCTTGCCCCCTGAAATGATCCTGTGTAGATTTGTCTGCATAACACCATCATAGATATGTACAGCCCTTTGCAAACAGGCAAAAGTAACCTCAGTTTCTATAAGTTTATTTGGTTGAGTTAAAGCAAAAAAAAAAAAATGCAAATACAGTGTAAATTAAGGTAAAGACCTAGAAACTCCTATCGATTTATTATTCTGAGGCAGGGAAACATTAAATCAGACTTACAGGTACTGTAAATTAATGCCCTAAACATGTTACAAGATATCATTAGAGTGGTATAATGAGCTAATTCATGGATTTTAAGACCCCAAAAATACCATTAGATCAATTTTAGATAAGTACAGCAGCTCCTGCCCTCCATTCACCAGGAAAAGAAGAAAGAAAGAATGCTGTTAAGTTTGTCCCATTGCCACACATTTTAGAGTTCTCTGATACACACTCGGTTTAAGAACTTTGAGAAACTACCGGTAGCAGTAGTCACACATAGTAGTTCTGTTTCTGTCCAGCAGAGGGTAGTGGTTCACAGGCAAACATCACTACTGCTGCTGCCACCCACCACACAGAGATGACAAACCATTCCTAATATATTTGTGTAACTCGGGTCTGCAACAGTGGGCACACGGCCCATCCGGGTAATCCGCTGGTGGGCTGCAAGACATTTTGTTTACATTGACAGTCCGCAGGCATGCCCTCCACCCACCCCACCCCCCCCCCCCCCGGCAGCTCCCAGTGGTCATGGTTCACCGTTCCCGGCCAATGGGAGCTGTGAGAAGCGGCGGGCCACAGGGACGTGCTGGATGCTGCTTCCCATAGCTCCCATTGGCCAGGAACGGCGAACCACAGCCACTGGGAGCTGCGGGGGAGGGCATGCCTGCAGACAGTCAATGTAAACAAAATGTCTTGCAGCCTGCCAGCAGATTACCTTGATGGGCCGTGTGCTGAAGGTTGATGACCCCTGGTGTAACTGCCCTGGGACCCTTTGATAAGAGAGCAGTGGCTCTGGAACAATTTGTATAGTGGAACTGCTGAAAGCCATTGAACAAAACTCTAAACCCTGTATATGATGGAAACCACTTCAAGCCAGCGGGTGCCGCCACACCCCCAACACCCATGTAAAAGAGTGCCTCAAGAATGGTTGGAAATGCTTTTTTCCCCTTTCTTCACTGCTAGATGTGCTTCCTACATAGGACTTCCACTCACTATTTTTATCTGATGAATATTTATCTCAGCACAATTTTCATACCCCGCCCTCTCTCATTCACATCTCTTAACAGCTCAAGTAGCATGCACAGTGCCCTCTTCAGAATGAGGTGACTCCATAACTGTCCCTATAGCTGCAGAAGCGTCAGTCAGGTACAACCAGAGTCTTCTATTGACAGACATATAATTGCCTTTTAAAAACTACGCATGATTATGTTCCAACAGCTAAGATGGATAGGGGTAAGTAGAGGTTTTTCTCCCTAGTAGGTGGGAGAAAAACTACTTAACCATTCACCTAGCTTGTTGAGATCTCTTGAAGTTCCTCACAGTTCTCTCTTATCTTGACTAACATCAACACCTTACTTCAATTGGCAACTTTTGCTACCTCATTATTCATCCCCCTTTCTTTATCATTAATAATTATATTAAACAATACTAGACCTAGTACAGAACCTAGAGGAGCTCTTCTTTAACCTTTTGCCAGGATGAAAATTGGCCATCAGCACAAATCAATGAACTCTAAAGCAATTTCATAGAAGGCCACAGAAAACATAAGAGTGTAGAGAACCAAATCAACTACTGAAGCTGATAGATGAGCCCAAAGAAAAAGCCCAGGGAATTTAACACCCTGAGCTTTCAGAAAGTTTGGCTCTGGAGCAGAGCTCAATTTGAATTAATGGCAGATCAAGAAAAAATATAATCTCAAATAGGCACAGAAACTTTGGTATACTATTCATGTGTTCTACGTGTTCAGCCAAATTCTTCTGTTACATCTGTATAGGCCCAATAGCAGAATTTGGCCCATTATTTAGTAGGTTCTCATGATTTCTTTATTTTGAAAATCCATGTGTGCAGCTCTAAATTGTTTTAATCTATGCATTCTCAAATGTGAAAGGTAGTGAAATAGGTGATGCTGTAGCATCAGAATGAAGTTAAGATTTAGTATTTGCAGTATTTATCATATTTTAGCTTTGCTCCCAGTTTAGTTCCAGCTAAACACTCTTTAAATTTGGCATCCATTTCCCGGCTCTGAGCTTCAGTGAAGAGATTCTTCCAATCACCAACATCACCTGCAAAAGAACAATGAAATAAACTATAACATCACAGGTCAGGTACATAACATTGAAATGCTGACACAAACAGCTGGAATGACTGAACTTATTGCCAAATTTCAAACCCACAAAAGGCTTGGATCTTGTATGAATGTGGATGGGGTAATTCCAGTTAAAGGTTAAAGAAAAAGCCTTGCAGTAAGTTTTATAGGTATACGTGTAAACACCCTTGAAAAGAGAGAGCTAATATTTTGACAGAACAGCAAGTGCCCGGTTGATCAGCTGCTTATGGATGTCCATTTTCTAAAGGTGAAAATTCATCATCAGCTATGAATTAAATACATTAATCACAGAGGCCACAAGAGGCATATGCTTTTAAATGTTAATTAGCTCATGACCACTTTGGATAGCTGTTCTAAGCCTTGAAATGACTATTATCACTCTGTATAAATGTACCTTTTCTGAAAAGCATGGGAGCTAATAAGCCATGTGTTTCTTGGGATTTGTTGCTCATTGATTCAAATGTGGCATTCTCTGCAATAGACTGAATCTTCTCCTCAGGCAGAGAGAACCCCAAAAATTCAGCTATTTGTTTCACTCCTTCAGGTAAGTTCTGAAAAACAAGAATTTGCTGGAGTTATGTATGAGTCAAAGAAAATATGCCTGACATTTTCCTCTTCTCTTTTGTCAAATGAATGTAGTAGATTTTATCCTCATCCATACACACAGCAGAACATTAGAGGAGTATATTAAGTTCAGCAGCAAGAGGTTCCAGGAACGGGTGGTTACTTTAGATAAGATTTTGGTATCTGCCTCCCTTTGCCAAATGGAAATGTGTTAAGAGAATACTCTCAGTCTTTTGCGTTTCTCTCTTTTAGTATTTATTTCTACTGATTACATTTATCAAGCAGCATCAATTAGTATTGTTCTGTACAAACATGGGTATTACCTGCCCCCAAAAATTTAAGGCCCTCATCCTGCAAACTTGCACATGCTTAACTTTCAGCATGTGAATAGTCTCATTGAAGCAAATGGAACTACTCACATGCCCATGTCTAAGGAGGATCAGGGCTTTCTTGCTGGAGAATGAAGGTGGGCTGCAGATAGAAGAGCTAGTAGCCAGTGGGAGAAAAGGACTGCTATTTCATATGCCTGCCTTCTCCTAGTCTTTGAAATTCACAATAAGGTTTTGCCTGGCACAAAGTGAAAACTGGACTGGACAAGATACTTGTGAATGTACTGAAGGGAACAATTCTGTATACAAACAGGTTTTTCCCATGTCTAATTGTTACAAAAATTCACCTCTTTCATTTCTTCATATGTGATGATCATGATATTCTCTTCATCCATGTGGTTGTTCCAGGAAAGAGCATGGTCAAAATATGAACTCCAGGTGACTGAAATGAAATACAGGAGATAGGTTTAAAAAGAACATACTTTAAAGTATATTTAAATTTAAATTACCCCTGAGATTAAATGTACAGGCTAACTTCAATATAGAGTCCTGGAGATATTAGATTTTTTAATCCTTCAACTGCCTCTTCGTACTTCATTTATGAAATGGATTGTTAGAAGTCATTCACTCCAGACTTGACTTTTCACTTTCTCCTTGCAAATATTTTTCAGAATAAATCCATATATCAAGACTCTACATGGCAAGTATACAACAAATTAAATTACTAAAACAAGAGTAATGTATATTCATAGAGTACCTGTATTGTCTAACCACGGTGGGGGCGTGCCTGCAGGTGGAGGCAGCGCGCAGAGCTGCCTGGCCACTCCTCTGCCTAGGAGCTGAGCAAGGGGGATGTCGCCATTTCCGGGGAGTCCCCCAGGTAAGCACCCTCAGAGCCCACCTCACCCCGTCCCGTGCCCCAACCACCTGCCCCTTCCACATCCAAATTCTTCTGCTGTGGGGGGTGGGGGCTGTGGCCCGAGACTGCCCCAGTAGTAGCCGATGTGACAGGCGCAGGGGCTGCCTAAGCTGCAAAAGTCACGGAAAGTCCGTGACTTCCATGACCTCTGTGACAAACTCACAGCCTTAATTATTGTTAGTGGTGATGCTACAGAAGGAAAGAGCCCAGCCTGATTCACAATTTGAGGAGCTGGCAGTTACATAAAACATCGTTTATTTGTAAACTTAGCTTCTTTGATCTGGAAGCAATTGAGACACACACACGGAATCCACAAAGCCATTTTTTCATTCTCTTGCCTCCTCCTTCCCCAGGAGAGCATCACTTGAAATGCAGGGTTGATCTCACTGTTGTTTTCATTGGGTCTGTTTGAGCCTGATTGCTATGAAGCTCCCTGACCTGACAGGAAATTTGCCACTCATGACTGTCCCTACAGGGTGAACTCTCTTTGAAATTGGAACTATTTGGCAACAGATGATAGAATAAAAAATGGAGTTCTTCAGTTTAGAAAAGGGGTTTTATCTATTTTGATTCGAGCTCCAACCTCTGCGCAACTATAAATGGATAAAGGGTATAAGTTCTAGGGTGCACCTAAGAGAGTTAGAAGCCTAAGTCCCATTTCCAAAAGTAACAACATTTAGGATCAGATATTTAAATGTATTTAGGCATCTAAATATGTCTAGTGCAATTTTCAAAAGTGTTTAAATTCAGTAGAAGTTAGGCACCTAGGGACTTCTTGAAAACCACACTAGGCATCTATTTGCATCTTTAGGTGCGTTTAAAAACTTTTTAAAATCTGTCCCTTAGAAGCGTAAGCCTGATTGAAAGACAATGGGAGTTAGGAGCCTTAGTCACTTAGGTACTTTTGAAAATTTACTCCAAACCTTTATTTTGAGTGTCTCTAGGGCTATGTTTGCACTGGCTGATTCCCCTGCTCATGTACACTTGTGCCACTTCTCATCGTGCTAGGGTGAGCCTAACTAGCAGTGTAGCCATGGTAGCACGAGGCGTGGCAGCGGCGCCATGGCTGAGCTGCACTAAGTACAAACCCATGGTGAGTATGAACTCTTCACAGCTTAGCTGTGTCCCTGCTGCTGTTACCCGTGCTACCACAGCTATACTGCTATTTATACTCACACTAGCTTGATGAGAGCTAGCATGAATATGTACGTGTACATGAGAGGGGGAAATCACACCCCTAGCTCACAGTGTAGACATAGCCTAAAACAGATACACCTGCTCAGAGGTGTAGATGAAACAATGAGAAAAATGGAGCTGAGAACAAAGGAGGAGAGACTCACGAATCTAGTTGTTATGATGTGAAATCACAAGGAGGGAGGTGCCTTCTGGAGGGAGAGTAAAGCTGGAGATGAAGTAGAATCCCTGTAAAATGTATCAGCCTGATTATTCGAATGGCTCCACACCAATGTTCCCACTCCTGAGGACTCTGCCAGGGTTGGCCAAGGGAGAAGCACCTTCAACTCCTTAGCACCAGCTCCCCCACCCAGATCATTAGTTTGAATCCATTTGGGATTAATTTTAACATGATGATCACAGATTCCCTTTTTTTGACTACAGACCAAAGAAGAGTTGAGAACATTGTACTAGAGTGTTTATACATGCCAAGATCTAATAACTGTACCTTCTCCACTCATGAACTTCTGAAAGAACTCATCCCAGGAGCTGACATTTGGAAGCCCAGGATTTTTGTTGTAGAAGTGGTAATAGGATACAGCTACATCTTTTGGATTTCGAAATACCACCAGTACCTTTTAAAACAACAAAGTCACATGAGTCCTGGGTATTTAAGGTAACCTTTGAGCTCAAGGGTCCTGCATTAAAAAAAACATATCAGCTCTTACAGGAACTGCAATTTGGAAAATGAAGCCTCAATCCTGCAATGTAGGGAACAGGAGAACAACTTACTAACTTCAGGGGGGCTCCAAGGAGCAATAAGGGGTATCCCATACAGATCACCTTGCAGGGCTGGGATCTAAGATTTGACCTCTTTGTTTGAATTACATTGATCAGTAAATCTACATCAATTGCAGTGATCAGTAAAAATTAAATTCTATTTTATCTATTTTGATTGTAGCTCCAACCTCTAGAGGTTGGAATTTTTGGCCAGGCTGGAATTTTTGATTAATATATATACACAAGAGAGAAAAATCATTACATAAATCAATCGCCTAGTGGTTAAACACTTATCTGAGATGTGGGAGACCCGTGTTCAAGTCTCTGTTTCGACTCAGGTTCAGATGCTTGCTTGCTTTTTCCTCTTAGATTTTTCACAAAAAATAAGGTCTTGGTTGTGGAACAAAACCAAATTCCAAAACCTTGGAAATTTTTGCAAAAACAGAATTCTTGTTTTCCAGGCAGCCCTAAACCTAATAACTTTCCAGAGAAAACTGGGAGTTGCTTGGAAAGTGGATAGTGCCCTCCATTATTAAAATGTTCACTTACCTTCACCTTATTCTCAAAGACAGCCTTGGGAATATCATCATAATGGAGATGCGTGGAAAAGAGACGCGGAGAAGGTGCATTTTTTATTTTCTAAAGCAAAACAAAAAGTGACAAAAGTGAACCATAATATCCCTATCTTAAAGATGCTGACAATTTATAGTATCTGTACATTTACCCTAAAAAACTAATACAGTAACTCCTCACTTAACGTTGTAGTTATGTTCCTGAAAAATGCAACTTTAAGTGAAACGATGTTAAATTAATCCAATTTTCCCATAAGCTTTAATGTAAATGCGGGGGATTAGGTTCCAAGGAAATTTTTTTGCCGGGGAAGCGCTGGGAGGGAGGGGGAGGTGGAGGAGAAGAGGAACTTATGCAATGCTCCCTTGTAAAGTCGCTGCTCTTCCACAGAATCTTACAAGCAGTGGACAGAGCAGGCAGCCAAACAACGTTATACGGGAGCATTGCACAACTTTAAATGAGCATGTTCCCTAATTGAGCAGCGACGTAACTTTGAAACAACGTTAAGTGGGAGGACATTAAGTGAGGAGTGAGTGTGAGTGTGTGTGTGTATATATATATATATATATATATATATTAATTAATTGTTAAATTGTAGTCTCTCTTCTTACTTCTTATCATTCATAATGTCATTGAAGTGACATTTATTACTCAAAATAAGGTGTACATTTTTAATGGTGAGAGTAATTAACCACTGGAACAATTTATGAAGGGTCATGGTGGATTCTCCATCACTGACAGTTTTAAAATCAAGATAGGATGTTTTTCGAAAAGATCTGCTCTGGGAATGATTTTGGGGAAGTTCTATGGCCTGTGTTACACAGCAGGTCAGACTAGATGATCACAATGGTGCCTTCTGGTTTTAAAATTTATGAACCTATGAAGAAGAGAGGTTAAATATCTTGCCTGAAGCCAGATAATACACCAATAGCAGAGTTGTGATTAAAGATCTCCTACCTCTTTAATCCCAATCTTGTGCTTTAATCATAAAACCACATAAAGAAAGGTAAGAGTCCAGCTGGTGTCACTACTCATGATTTGCAATTATCACTTCTCGATAGATAGATAGATAGATTTCGCCATATTCATTAGCAGAATTACATATGCCCCGATCCTGCAAAAATTTAGTCATGTTGTGACAGATTTTTGTTACTAATTTGCCTGGAGCGTCAGGTGATTAGGCTGACGCTGCAGGATTGTTTGGGGAGGAGATGACGTAACACACCAAGTGTTTAAATTTTAAAGCTTTATTAATAAAATACAGCAGAGAGTGCTGGGACTGTTTTTATGTTACTATGGGGAAGAAAGAAAGCGTTAATGCCCCAGGCCCTAACCCACTTTTATACTTACACTTGTATTAACCAGACTGGCCAAGTCTGGGTGTAACATATTCCGATGACTCCCCTTCCCAGCAGATGTGTTGACCTACCTTATAAAAGCGGCCTGGCATTGCCTTTTTTTTTTTTTACATACTATTTGAGGGGGCTTTATAGGCCACAGCTGCCAAGTGTTGCCCTTTGCAATTCATATGTGCTGACAGAAGATGTAGTCAGCACATACCGCTTAGCCATGTCATTGGAGGGAGCCACCTTCCACACGTCACGATGGACCACCCAATCCCAGATAACATGTGATGCCACATTCCTAGAATGCTAAGCTACAATTGTCCCCCTCGCTAATGAATAATTGACTTTTTTTTTTTTAAACCAGGGCCAATTTTGGACACTGGTAAAATTAATAAAGGGGGACACCCGAGGATTCCCATAGATATGTGCCACCATACATACATTGTATTACACCAACAAATTGTGCAGGCCTGAAGCAGCAAGAGCGGTCCCACCACCCCTGTTCGGGGTGTCCCTGGGCTTTTGCTATTACTGCTTTGTCCTGGTAACAAAGCAAGAGGGAAAGGAAAAGAACAACACAAATGCACCTATTGGGAAACTGAGGCATGGATGAAAACTTTCTAAATTATTAGTTGTTTTGTTACAGCCCTGGCTTTTGTTATGGATGTTGTTTGCCTGGTTTAGGAGGTTACAACAACCATATTACATTTTAAGATTAGTAATTGCTATTGCTTGCCAAAGGGCTTTTGATTTTCTTTTTATTTTAGGGCACCACAAGAGGAACAGGGTTTGTCCTAACGGGATCCAAGGGAGGCTTGGGGCCACCCACCAGGTATTTTGCTGTGGCCCTGCTGTGTTTATTCGGACTATGCACTGTTTTTAAGGCTCCTCCCCTCCAGCCTCCTGCCACACTATGGCTCGGGCCCCATTAGCAGCTCGAGTCAGGGAGAGCCTTTTGAGGTTTTTTTTTTTTATATATATATATATAATTATGATTATTTGGATAATTTTATAGCCAGCTGGAAACCCGGATGGTCCAGGCAGGTGGCTGGTCCACAACTGAGGCCCACGACGCCATGACCAGAAACCTAGGGAGAAACATGTTTTGAGCTGATTGGCATGCGCCCATTTTAATTTGCCTGGTAGCTGAAGCTGGTTCACTACCGGGGAGATGCGATTCACAATGGAGTACAGACCCACCCACTTGGCATTCAGAGTGTGGGCCGCCTTCCCTAGCTTTTGCAACATTACCTTATTTTTAATTTGCCATTCCCAGACGTCTTTACTGACGATTCTCTTACGCTTGGCCTTTTTTTTTATTTAAAGCGGTCTCTACGGCTTCATGGGTTTTACATAGCTCCTTCCTCAACTGGGCAAAGCTGAGACTTTTTGGTTGTGGCCAACAGTAAATGTGATTATTGGTAAATATAATATTTATATTATATTTGCTTATTAGCAGGTTGCTAATATTTTTATTTTTTAATACTTTTTTTTTTAGGAATTAACATTTATTGCTTATTATATAGTATTTTGATTTTATTATTAATTTATTTTATATACAGGGTTTTAGTAAAATGTTTTTATTACAGGGCTTTGGAGCAATAGGCAAGGACAAGCACACCCACTTTTAAGGAGTCCACTCGGTACAACCTCTGGTGTTTAATTGCTTCCCTCCCTCCCTAGCCCACTGGCTCGAGATCCCGGGTAACCAGAAGGATTCCATGTGCAATATGGGGAGTGCGCTAGATTTTTATATTTTTGCTTCCAGAGCCTATTGATGTACGATTTTAACAACAATTTTTTTTAATTAAAAGGTCTGGCCTTATTATGCTAGAAACATACTGCATTTGTTTATATTGATAAGTATTAAACAGTGATTTTTTGCTTTCCTTTAGCAAGTCTCTTAAAACCTTAGTATTTTTTTATATTACCCAAAATATTTTGTATTTTAAGGTGGACAAAGCAAGTATTTGCATTTTAGTATATTCCATGTGCAATAGCAGTATGATTTTTTTATTTGTATGTATTTTTGTATTAGGCTGTCCTGTGGTTGGGACAGAGAGCTTAATTTATTTTTAAGTTTACAGTATTTATAATTTTTGCTTTAAAACCAATTTCTCCCAATATGTTGTTTGCTGTCTAAGGATTCTTTTTTGCAGCATTTACTACACAACAGTGCTAGCAACAAGACAAACGACACAAGACACAACATAAAACACAATTTCTATTGTGACAGTAGTTTTATGGTATTTTGGGTTGCTTTTTAGCTGGTATTAGCTTTTTTTGGTTTTTTTGAAAGACAAAAAGAACATGTTTTTACCCCCTTTGGGGGTGGCAGATTATTGCTTAAAATATATAAATACCCTTGCTGATTGCAGGCAAAACTGAGGAATTACCCTCATATTTTTTTGTTTGTGTTTTATAGGCAGGTCAGGTTTTAATGGCTTTTACCTTTATTAGTTAGGTAATTTGCAGTAATATAGATGCTTTCTAGCTTGCATTTGGATTCAAAGCTATTAGTCGCTCAGGGACTCTCTTAAAAGGGACACAATCAACTTTTACCAGAGTTTTGATTACTTTTAATTTTTGCTTTTAAAACACACGGTGATTTGAAAAGGAAAACACAACCTATCATGGCTCTCTTTGGCCAAGTGAAGTTTGATTACACAGAGCCACCTGAAGGATCGATGTGGGGGGCATGGTTTTTTTTTTTTATTATTATTTTTAATTATAGCTTTTGTTTGCTATTTTGTTACTAAAAAACAGATTTAAATTTTTATTTTAATTTTTATTTTTTTTGGCTTTGACTTCCCTGCTGCAGCCATGACTTTGGTTTTTATTTAAAAACATTTTAAATTTTGTAAAGCATTGAGTTACCTTCAGGGTTAAATGTTAAATACCAAAGTTAAACAATACTAGTTACTATGTCCGGCAAAAGTGTTTCTTGGTTTTGCAATTTTAAATGGAAAATTTAAATGGATTTTAGTGGTATTATTTAAAACAATACTAATTTATTTTAAACCTACAAAACAAAGATTGTACACATCCGGAGTGTTCTTTTAGCAAATTTGACTAACTTGTTCATAGTTAAATGATTTTACTTAGATATCTTTTTTGCCTGGATTATTTACAGACATTTTTTTGGACATTTCTCCTTCAGAATGGCGGCAAAGAAACGGAAAAAAAAAAATTGGAATTTTTTTTGTTAATATTGTTACAATGTTTAATTACTTAATTCCCTGCAGTCTCTGCAGAATTTTTTTTTTTTTTTTTTTTTTTTTAATTATTTGCTTATTTTTTAAAATGACACTTTAACTCAGATTTTACCATTCCAAGTACTGTTTCAGGGATTTAAATTCCCTATGTCTGCATTTATTTTTTATTTTTTTTTACTTTTGCCACTATGCCCTTAAGGCTGTTTTCCAATTTCTTTATTTGTTCCCTGCCTGCTTGTCTGGGCCCGATCCTGTTTTTGTTTTTTTTATTGAACCATCCCTTTCCATGGGCACAGGCTTTGTTTCACTACCGAGTCAGCAAGGAGGGTGGGCTCCTCAACTAGCCCCCACCCCTCCTGGTCCCTTTCCTTTTTATAATTACCCCATGGGATGTTTTTCTCATAGTTGGGGGTGCCGTACATACGACCTTCTTCCCCCTTCACCCGCTGGACCTCTCCTCGGTCTTAATGAGGGCCGCTATAGGGGTGCAACAAGGTTCCGCCCAAAATTGAGGCTCCTCACAAAGGGAGAGATCAAAGCCAGCCTCACAAGGGTCACCCGAATCATCCCCCGTGAGGCTCGCCACCTGGACAGAACGCACGGCTAGCTGACGTTTTAACTGTTTTTTTTTGTTTTGTTTTTTAAATGGCGAGCACACTGCCGTTGCGGTGTATGCAGAGCACAAATGGTCAAATCTTTGACAAGTCCCTGAAGAACTGGTACTTGCTTAGCCAGTGCTTCCAGGTGGGTGCGTTCCGCCTTTTCCGCCTGGAAGTCCTGTCTTAAGGCTTGCAACTTGTCCTGGGCATTGGCTTGGGTTGCTGCCTGGTTAGTGATCTGCGCTTTCAATTGCTTAATTTCCACCAGCTCTTCCCTTTTTCCCAACTCCTCTTTTTGTCCCGACAACATTTGATACCACATGGCTGCTGCAGTCCAAATTAATCCCAAGCTGCCCCTAGGTTTTTGCCCTTCTACTTTTCATACTTAGCATATAGATCTAACAAATCCTGCCAAGAATGCACACTGCTTTGAAGCTCCATCACGGAATCCCAGGGATTGTATTCCACCTTGGTGAGAGCCCTCTCCAGTCGGGAGAGGTTTTTACCCCCCCTTTGAAAGAGCAGGGTCCCGTCCCTCTTTGCTGCCTCTCCGGTGGCTCGGGCATCAGGTTCACCTGCCTCCCGTGATGCCAACTGACTGGGCAGCTGGACTACCGCGTTCGTACTCCCAAATGCCCGTATGTCTAGGCATGAACCCATCGCTGATGCCATCACCCACGACTGCGGGACTCCCGAGTCCGCAGCTGTACCCTTCTGTTTCCTGAACATGTTATTACAATACCTCAGTACACCTCTCAAGATCTTTTAATTACTTGAGATTTCACGTAGCTCTTACCGACTGGCACCGGGGCTTACAATGCTCACCCTTCCCAGGCCGGAGGGAGAGATGCTAAGTCTCCCTCTGTATTACTGGGTCCGTTCCCACTGAGGGTCCATATACCAAGTGCCCCCTTGGGCTGAGCGAGAAACCCAAAGCTCTCCTCTTCAAGTGCCCCTCTCGGGCTGAGCGAGAAACCCTAAGCTCTTTTCCTACACTCAGGCATATTACGGCTGAGTGTGTATGAACCGAGAATTGTCCACCTGGAGCGAGAATCTCTTAAGTCCTCCTCCTCATACCCGGGACTTCTACAGCCGGGGGCGTACCCACCAGCACCCTTCCCCTGCCAACCAGGGGGGAGAGAGGAATGCTAAACCTTTCTCCAGTTCTCAGGCATACTATGACTGAGGGTGGGCACCACCTTTATTATAAAAACCTCAACATGCAATACCAACAGTGCCAGCCAGAGCAAACATGAAATACCAAGGGCAGAACAGTTGGTGCGCTCCGCAGGGCTCCCCCCCTCCGCAATTCTCCACCAAAACTGTGACAGATTTTTGTTACCAATTTGCCTGGAGCGTCAGGTGATCAGGCTGACGCTGCAGGATCGTTTGGGGAGGAGACGACGTAACACACCAAGTGTTTAAATTTTAAAGCTTTATTAAAGTCACTCGGGAAGAAAGAAAGTGTTAATGCCCCCAGGCCCTAACCCACTTTCATACTCACACCCGCACTACCCAGACTGGCCAAGGGTGGGTGTAACGTCAGAAGAAGAGAAGGGGAAAGGTGGACGGGAGTGCTGTCCTGGGCCCAGGGCATCCAAGGATCTGTTGTGCTCTCCCAAGTTGCTCCAGCTCTCAGGAGGGTTTTAAGTCCTGGGCTTCTTTGGGGGTGTTTTTGTTCAAGGCCCTCTGTTCCTGGTGCTCTTTGGACCAGTCCAAACAGGCTTGCTATGGTCTCTTTCCCTTTCCCAAAACATCCCAGCTTCAGGGACGCCCGGCTGGCTCCCCCTCTTGTTGTCTCGTTTGTGTTTTTAGACTCTGCAGCTCTGGGCTTTATTTTCCTCTCTACTGTTTTTGCTGTCCTGCAGGTGCAGGTCTGTGTAGTCGGTTTTTCACAGCCGCTCGGGCAATTTTCAAGCCCCCGTCTTTCTCGGCTGCCAGCCAAGTCTCGGCTGCGAGCAGTGTCCTTGGGCGGAAGCCAGAGTTTTATCTTCGGACTGAGCTTGCTAGCTGAAGCGTTGAGTTAACCCGTTCTTTGCTCTTTTCTCTTCCCGCCCCCCGCCCCCGCTTTCGGCCTCTTATAACCTACAAAAAACCTTCCACTCACACACCTTTGGCCCTCCCCAAAATGCTTTGCGATGCTTGCAACAGCGTTAGCAATATACAGTGCTGATCTACCTTCCCTGGGGGGAACTCCCTAAGGGGAGGCGGCCATTGGGGGTGTAACAATGTGCTAAACTGGAAAAAAAATCAAACCTCTTACTTCATTTTTATCTAGCCTCAGTTTACCAGAAAATTATTTCATTAACTTTTTTTTTTTTTTTTTTAAAGAAGGAACTTTTTTAAAAAAATTTTGCACTCAAAATTTACTCACAAGAACAACAGACTCTGAAATTCCAGTACATGAGTAACAACATTTACAGGGGTAAATGTTAGGGTTAAATGAACTTTTTTTCCTTTTTGTTTACAAAAGTTAATTTACTTTCAAATCACACTTGTTCATTTGTGTTTCAATACTTTAGAATATAATTTCAGACAGAAAAGGTAATTAAAATAGAATTAAAATCAAATTTTCTGATGCAGAAGTTTATAAACTATCTGAAAATTGTTTTATGCTTATATGAGCTATAGTAAAATAAAGACATTCAAAATATTGTATGCTAAAAGTAAGTTTCACTAGTTAGTCCAGGCTGACCTGAAATTTTTCTGAAGCTTCAAATTCAAGCACATGGATACGTTCTAATAGTGATACTTCCTTATTATTTGGTAGTGCGTTTATCAAGTCATTTAAAATGTGTTGAGTCCAATTAGTTCCTGAAACATAAAATAAGTGTGTTGAGGAACCAAACAGGAATTTCCAAACCACAGGCAGTTAAATATCCATCACAACTTTCAAAATAGTTATTATTCTTGTGCTTCATATAACCTGTAACAGTAGCACGTACATAAATTTCAGACAAAAGTGTAATCTTAAATTGTGTCTCTGTAATGAAACATTGCAGGGGACAATGGATTTCGTGTGCTTTGTGCAGCTACAAGTTCTAGATCAGTGGTCTCCAACCTTTTTACACCCAAGATCACGTTTTGAATCTAAGGGCAACTCAGGATCTACCCCACCCCTTCCCTGAGGCCCTGCCCCTTCCCCAAAGCCCTGCCCCGCTCACTTCATCCCCCCCTCTCTCCGTCGCTCACTCTCCACCACCCTCACTCCCTTTCACCGGGCTGGGGTAGGGGTTCGGGGGGGGGGTGTGTGGGATGGGGCCAAAGGTTTCGCAGTGTGAGAGGGGGCTCTGGGCTGAGCCTGGGGCAGGGGGTGGGGGTGAGGGGTGCAAGCTCTAGGAGGGAGTTTGGGTGCAGGAGGGGGCTCCGGACTGGGGCAGAGTGTTGGGGTGCAGGAGGGGGTACAGGGTGCTGGTTCTGGAAGGGGGGGGTCAGGGCTGGGGCAGGGGGTTGGGGTGCAGGAGCAGCTATGGGGTGCTGGCTCTGAGAGGGGGGTCACGGCTAGGGCTTGGGGTGCAGGAAGGGGTTCAGAGTGCAGAAGGGTGTATGGGGTGCTGGCTCCGGGAGGGGGCTCAGGGATGGGGGTTGTGGTGCGACCTCCCACCGGGCAGCACTTACCTCCAGCGGCTCCCAGTTGGCGGCAGGCGCAGCGAGGCTAAGGCAGGCTCCCTGCCTATCCTGCCCGCACACTGTGCCTGGAAGGAGCCAACGGGTCCCTGCAGCCCCTGGGGTGGGGGAGCATGGCTCCATGCACTGCCACTCTCTGCAAGCACCATCCCCGCAGCTCTCCTGGCCAATGGCAGCTGCGGGAGCAGTGCTTGCATGCAGGAGCAGCGTGCACGGAGGGAGACCCTCTGCCTCCACCCCCCAGGGCCGCAGGGCTGTAGTGGCTGCTTCTGAGAGCAGTGTGGGGCAGGAGTAGCCTTAGTGGCAGCCACACTGCACTGCCACTGGAGATTGCGATCGACTGGGAGATCCTCAAGGATTGACCAGTCAATGGCGATTGACCAGTTGGTGACCACTGTTCTAGATATTCCCAGAGAAACCATACTTTAGCTACATTGCTATGTGCATGTAATGACCAGCCCTGGTAGGCATTTTGGCCCAGATCTTCTCCTCCTTTTGTACAGCAGGCCCAGATCCTCAGAGGACTTTAGGCACCTAACACCTAGTCATTTGACCAGAGAGAATATGACTCTTTAGCCTGGTGGTTGGAGCACACACCTGGAAGTTGGGAGACCCAGGGTACAGTGCCCTTGCTCTAATGGCTAATTATTTATGAACAGCTTCAACAGAGGAGACTGAAGGAGCCCCCCACACACATCAGAATCTCCTGTAGCTTGGTGGTTAGTGCACCTCTCCTGAGGGGGGGAGACCTCTGTTCAAATCTTCTCTTCCCATCAAACGCAGAAGGAAATTGAAGTTGGGTATCCCACATAAGTGCTGGGCTAAAAGTTATAAGATGGGTGGTGGTGACAGCATTACCACATCCTCTGGCCAGATTTTGAATAGGGCCTGATACAGTAAGCAGACTCCATGCACACCTACCAGACAGGGTCTATGGGTGAGCTAGGTAGAGGGAACACCTGTCTTCTTCCAGTCGTGGATTCCTCTGGGGCTTAAGTAGGAGATAGGCATCCAGATGCCAAGAGTGAGGCAGAAACGTAGGTGCCTAGGAAACTTTTACAGTGGAATTTTAGACACTGAGTAAGTTAGGCACCTACAGGATTAGGTGGAAGCAGGTTTTGTGGATTGGCGTGGAACTTAAAACTGGGGTTTAGGTACTTAAGCACTTTTGTGGATCTGGGCCTTAGACCTGCTACTACACAGAATTCTCCTTAGCAAAGGACAGGAGACTAAAAAACAGAGAGGAAGGGCGGGCAAGTGATTAAGAGGTGTTGCTTCAAGGTCCCTCAAAATGACACCCGTTCTTTCTCCATTGCTCCACTCAGCTGCTTTCTTTTGGTTTGGTAGTGAGGAGTAGAGCAGGAGTTATGCCCAGGAGCAGCTATCTAAGGCAACAAAGAGAGCATTGGTAAGAGAGTAAGGTCTTTGGAGGAAGATCATGCGACCTCTGCAAGGCTGAAGAGTCGGGAGGTGGATTCCACTCCATATCCTGACAGGGTGAGCAGGGAAGAGCTCAGGAGGAGGAGATGTGGTGTGAGTGTGGTAGTGGTAGTACTGAAAGGGATATCTGGGGAGAAAAAAAATGATGGGGTTGAGGGCAAAGAGTTTGAGATGGAGGAAGACAGATGGAGGGAAAGAGCATAGGACAAACAGGAGAAAACTAAAGAAGTTGGGAATGTTTAGAGAAATCCTCGATGTTTTGGTGGATCAAAGAATCACTACTTCTTCTTCCACCATTAACTAGTTTAATAACTTAATAGATCTCTCCCATCACTAATTTCTATTGAAAAAATTGCAGTGTCTGGAAGAGGACTCTACTTTTGGTCCCGCCCATCACTCTAAACATAAGCTATTTTTAAGTAATTCAAGTGCAAAGAAATTACCTGAAATCTTTACAAGAGTGAATGGCTCAAAGAGTCAACAAACTGTTACCAAATCTTCTGAAAAAAAAATATCAGCCTTGGGCTGAGAACAAATGAGATGGGGCACTGAATGTATCCCCTTAAAAGAGGTGCTACTGCACCCTTAACCCAGTGATGCGTGTAGGAGTAGATGTTGCTAAAGCAGGTGGGGAGTTGGAGCATGAGGGTTAAATCCTATTGGGGGCTTCAGTGTCAGGAGCTGAGCTAAGGCAGTCAGGTGTAACTAAGCCCTGGTCTACACTACGATTTTAGGTCGAATTTAGCAGCGTTACCTCGATTTAAGCCTGGACCCATCCACACAACGAAGCCCATTTTTTCCAACTTAAAGGGCTCTCGATTTCTTTACTCCACCTCCGACGAGGGGATTAGCACTGAAATCGGCCTTGCCGGGTCGATTTTGCGGTAGTGTGGACGCAATTCGACGGTATTGGCCTCTGGGAGCTATCCCAGAGTGCTCCATTGTGACCCCTCTGGACAGCGCTCTCAACTCAGATGCACTGGTCAGGTAGACAGGAAAAGGCCGCGAACTTTTGAATCTCATTTCCTGTTTGGCCAGCATGGAAAGGTGCAGGTGAGTGCAGATCTCATCAGCAGAGGTGACCATGATGGAGTCCCAGGATCGCAAAAGAGCTCCAGCATGGACCGAACGGGAGGTACGGGATCTCATCGCCGTATGGGGAGACGAATCCATGCTAGCTGAACTCCATTCCAGTAAATGAAATGCCAAAACATTTGAAAAAGTCTCCAAGGACATGAACAACAGAGGCTATAACAGGGATGCAAAGCAGTGCCGTGTGAAAATTAAGGAGCTAAGGAAGGCCTACCAGAAAACCAGAGAGGCAAACGATCGCTCCGGATCAGAGCCCCGAACATGCCACTTCTATGATGAGCTGCATGCCATGCTAGGGGGTGCAGCCACCACTACCCCAACCTTGTGCTTTGACTCCATCAATGGAGAAGCACGCAACACGGAAGCGGATTTTGGGGACGAGGAAGATGATGATGAAGAGATTGAAGATAGTGCACAGCAAGGAAGCGGAGAAACCGGTTTCCCCAACAGCCAGGATATGTTTTTCACCCTGGACCTGGAGCCAGTAGCCCCCGAACCTACCCAAGACCCTGAAGGCGGAGAAGGGACCTCTGGTGAGTGTACCTTTGTAAATATTAGACATGGTTTAAAAGCAAGCGTGTTTAATGATTAATTTGCCCTGGCATTTGCAGCCAGTACAGCTACTGGAAAAGTCTGTTAACGTGTCTAGGGATGGAGCAGAAATCCTCCAGGGACATCTCCATAAAGCTCTCCTGGATGTACACCAAAAGCCTTTGCAAAAGGTTTCTGGGGAGGGCGGCCTTATTCCGTCCACCATGGTGGGACATTTTACCACGCCAGGCCAGTAGCACGTAGTCTGGAATCATTGCATAACAAAGCATGGCAGCGTATGGTCCCGGTGTTTGCTGGTATTCAAACATCCGTTCCTTATCTCTCTGTGTTATCTTCAGGAGAGTGATATCATTCATGGTCACCTGGTTGAAATAGGGTGATTTTATTAAGGGGACATTCAAAGGTGCCCGTTCCTGCTGGGATGTTTGCCTGTGGCTGAACAGAAATGTTCCCCGCTGTTACCCACGCGGTGGGGGGATGGGTGAAGCGATCATCCCAGAGAATTGGTTGTGTGTTGGGGGGATTATTTGGGTTTGTGCTGCATGCTAACCCTCAAACCGCAGCCCCTCCTTTTAAATTGCCAACCCATTTTAAATGGCCAACCCAACGGCTGCTTGGTATGGGAAATGAGGGCGCTGCTGTTTGAAACCATTCCCACACGTTATGAAGGTTAAAGAAGCCAAAAAGACTATGGCTTACCATGGCTGCCTGCAAGCCGAATTCTGTTGCCTGGCCCTGCATGAGTGATCTCTCACACCAAACCAGCAGGCCCTCAATATAAGAGGCAAAATGTGAACCTTGTAAAGAAAGCACATGTGCTATGTAATGTGAACAGCAAGGTTTAACGTGAAAGAGTCTACCCATTGTTCTCTAAAATGTCCCTTTTTTTTCCTCCACCAGCTGCATATGTTTCTCCTTCCCAGTGGCTAGCGAAGATTAGAAGGTGAAAAAAACCGCACTCGGGATGAAATGTTCTCTGAGCTCATGCTGTCCTTCCAGACGGACAGAGCACAGCAGAATGCGTGGAGGCAGACAATGTCAGAGTGCAGGAAAGCACAATATGAACGCGAGGAGAGTTGGCGAGCTGAAGAGGATAGGTGGCGTCAGCTTGCTGACAGAAGGCAAGAGTCAATGCTCTGGCTGCTGGAGCATCAAACTGATATGCTCCAGCATATGGTTGAGCTTCAGGAAAGGCAGCAGGAGCACAGACCGCCGCTACAGCCCCTGTATAACCCACAGCCCTCCTCCACAAGTTCCATAGCCTCCTTACCCAGACGCCCAAGAACGCGGTGGGGGGGCCTCTGGCCACCCAGCCACTCCACCCCAGAGGATTGCCCAAGCAACAGAAGGCTGGCCTTCAATAAGTTTTAAAGTGCAGTGTGTCCTTGTCCTTCCCTCCTCCCTCACCCCACCCGGGGTACCTTGGCAGTTATCCCCCTATTTGTGTGATGAATTAATAAAGAATGCATGACTGTGAAGCAACAATGACTTTATTGTCTCTGCAAGCGGTGATCGAAGGGGGGAGGGGAGGGTGGCTAGCTTACAGGGAAGTAGAGTGAACCAAGGGGTGGGGGGGTTCATCAAGGAGAAACAAACAGAACTTTCACACCGTAGCCTGGCCAGTCATAAAACTGGTTTCCAAAGCTTCTCTGATGCGCACCGCGCCCTCCTGTACTCTTCTAACCGCCCTGGTGTTTGGCTGCGTGTAATCAGCGGCCAGGTGATTTGCCTCTACCTCCCACCCCACCATAAACGTCTCCCCTTTACTCTCACAGATATTGTGGAGCGCACAGCAAGCAGTAATAACAATGGGAATATTGGTTTTGCTGAGGTCTATCCAAGTCAGTAAACTGCACCAGCGCGCTTTTAAACGTCCAAATGCACAGTCTACTACCATTCTGCACTTGCTCAGCGTATAGTTGAACAGCTCCTGACTATTGTCCAGGCTGCCTGTGTATGGCTTCATGAGCCATGTCATTAAGGGGTAGGCTGGGTCCCCAAGGATAACTATAGGCATTTCAACATCCCCAATGGTTATTTTCTGGTCTGGGAAGAAAGTTCCTTCCTGCAGCTTTTGAAACAGACCAGAGTTCCTGAAGACGCGAGCGTCATGTACCTTTCCCGGCCATCCCACGTTGATGTTGGTGAAACGTCCCTTGTGATCCACCAGGGCTTGCAGCAGCATTGAAAAGTACCCCTTTCGGTTTATGTACTCGCTGGCTTGGTGCTCCGGTGCCAAGATAGGATATGGGTTCCATCTATCGCCCCACCACAGTTAGGGAATCCCATTGCAGCAGCGCCATCCACTATGACCTGCACATTTCCCAGAGTCACTAACCTTGATAGCAGCAGCGCTTTGATTGCGTTGGCTACTTAGATCACAGCAGCCCCCACAGTAGATTTGCCCACTCCAAATTGATGCCCGACTGACCAGTAGCTGTCTGGCGTTGCAAGCTTCCACAGGGCTATCGCCACTCGCTTCTCAACTGTGAGGGCTGCTCTCATCTTGGTATTCTGGTGCTTCAGGGCAGGGGAAAGCAAGTCACAAAGTTCCATGAAAGTGGCCTTACGCATGCGAAAGTTTCGCAGCCACTGGGAATCGTCCCACACCTGCAACACTATGCGGTCCCACCAGTCTGTGCTTGTTTCCCGGGCCCAGAATCTGCGTTCCACGGCATGAACCTGCCCCATTAACACCATGATGTGCACATTGCCGGGGCCCGTACTTTGTGTGAAGTCTATGTCCATGTCTAGGTCCTCATCACTCTCGTCACCGCGCTGCCGTCGCCTCCTCGCCTGGTTTTGCTTTGGCAGGTTCTGCATATACTCCAGGATAATGCAAGTGGTGTTTAAAGTGCTCATAATTGCTGCAGTGATCTGAACGGGCTCCATGATCCCAGTGCTATGGCGTCTGGGCTGAAAAAAGGCGTGAAACAATTGCCTGCCGTTACTTTCACAGAGGAGGGGAAGGAGGGGGGGCCTGACAACATGTACCCAGAATCACGTTTGACACTGTTTTTGCCCTATCATGCATAGGGATCTCAACCCAGAATTCCAATGGGCGGCAGAGACTGCGGGAACTGTGGGATAGCTACCCACAGTGCAACGCTCCGGAAGTCGACGCTAGACTCGGTATTGTGGACACAGTCCGCCGACTTAATGCACTTAGAGCATTTTGTGTGGGGACACACACAATCAACTGTATAAAAACGATTTCTAAAAAAACGACTTCTATAAATTCGACCTAATTTCATAGTGTAGACATAGCTTGAGTCTAGTTAGGCCCAGACCCATAAAAAGGGTTATCTTCACAAGAGGAGGAGGCAAGGTTTTGCTGGCTAAAACAAGGACAGTGAGCTCTGGAGGTATAAGAGATGCTTTCCCTGTTTGTTCACAGTTTACTGTTAAACCACATTAAGGGAACTTAGCCAGGAATTTTCCTGATGTATGTTATTTTGACTGAACAAGAACCCTGTAAATAAACTGGAAATCTCAGAGTTGCTTTTCTTTTTAATTTATTGAGCCCTGGGTCTCCTGTGAACTGTCTTCCTTATGCAGCTGCTCAGCCCATGGCTGTGTCAGGAAAAAATTAAGCTTAACGGTTAGTTTCTTTCGTAATGGGAGTTATAATTTAAGTGCTTTCTCAAATATGCCTACAATGCTGCTTAGGCAACAGTATAATGTATTTATTATTTAGGTACTCTGGTTAAATTTCCTATATAACTGTAATGGTGATTTCCCATTAGCCAATCAGATTCCCTTTCAGATTGCTTAGAACAAACTTCTTCTCCTGCATCTAGAAAACTCCTTTCTTCCTTCAGCTCCATCTTCAAAGCACACGTCCTACAAGGCCTTTACAAACACGACTCTTGCAAGCCCCTATCACCGCCTCAAGTTCTTGCCATCTCTTACAGTAGGATTTTCAAAATTTCTCAGCACTGGCCTAACTTTACACCCATGGACTTCAATGGGAGCAGAGTTAAGCTAACACTGATCACCTTTGAAAATCCCACCCTAAATATCCTGTGTGTGTGAACTGTCTAGTCTTTGCCTGTTCTAGACTGGTCGCAGGTCTAATGTTTCTTGATAACTTTGTTCAGCTCTAAGCACATGGTTGGTGTTTTATTAACAATAAAGCTTTGGGGCAGTTCAGATTCTGGTCTGGCTTTGAATTCTGTGGGTTGATCCCATCTCTTTACAATATATACGAAGGTATAATCGTGCATAAGCACAGAGACTGACATATGCTAACATTTCCTGACAACTGTATTTTTAAGCTTTGTATAATGTTGGATGACGCTTTCCATTTAACTTAATACAGCCAACAACATCTATGTCTCGGTGCTAAATCACTGCTGGATTCAACCCATGTATCTGAAATTATGGAAGAGGAAAACACACGGCTTACTGATACACTGCTTCCCTGTGACAAATGAGGATTTACTGCAAGTAGCATTTAAACTTCCGTGCTTTTCTGCACTCTTCACAATGATCACACACATATTTGACACCATTCATGTTTACTTTTCATTTTGCACAAAAAAAATCTACACTCACCGCATTTAGGATAAGCCGCTAGGAACACATCGTCTTGTCTAAATTCTATGGAGTCCAGCGCTTGGAAGGTCTCAGCACTGCACAATCCAATAGGGTACAGCACCCCCTTGTAGGAGAACAGTAGCTCTTCAGATTCCTTTCCTTTAATATCATCGAAATATTTCTCTATTTCCTTAATAATACCGCTCTTAGACATGGCTGGAGTTTGCTGTGCCTCTTGCCAGATTCTCTCCTTAAACAGCGTGTCTCTAGCGTTCTTCAGGGTACGGAGGCAGAGGTGGAACTTTTAAATAAACTTCTAGGCACATGCACTGTCTGACTCTGCTGCTCTTGCCCAGCAGTGAGGGAAATTGCAGCTAAAAAAAACAGTTCTGAATTACACAGTCCCTGGTGTGAACTCTTGGCTGTAAACTGCAACTGGTTTCAGCCAGTGTTGTAGATTACACTGAACTTTAGCTTCCCCTGGGAGTGAGTGGTGCTGGGAGGAGTAACTGTCTATAGACATTACTAGCGGGAAGAAGAGGGATAAATTATGCTGATTCAACCCCTTGGACTCCACACAGAATGATAAGAATACTTTCACCTGATCCCCTTGCTACTAGTTTTCCACCTTGTGTAAAATTATCTACGTAGGCCAGCCTGGGATTTGCTGCTGTAGAATCTTTGCAGTTGGTTGTGTGAAAACTGGGAGTAGCAAAACTGGATGAGTCACAACGACAGGAGAGAGAAAGGAGTAAAGGTGGGGCAGGGTAACTGCTTCTCATGCTTATAGGATTACAATGGTTTTACTAGGGAGAGACTGGGAGCTCTTCGGAGTAAAGATTGTCCTAACTTTCTCCTATAAGCCTAATAATAATACACAGCTAAACCCTAACTTGGCCAACACCAACCAGACAACCTTCATTGTTCGGGCTAGCTACCAAATATCTAATATCAACCTTCCACATAAGAACCTGCCACTGTCCACAAGGGACTCAACATAACCCAGTTAGACCCATTCACCAACATTCTTCAGAGACTCCATAACTCAGTTATAGGCCAGAAATCAAGTTAATTATGTCCAGTCTCAGCATGACCCCAAGGTCATGTAAAAAGTCTTGGAAAACACTGCTCTACAGCCAAAATGCTTCTGAAATAAATGTAGGCAAACTTTACTAATCCTGGGTCACTGAGAACGAAAATGATGCTTAAAATTGTTGATTGGCTCTAGTTTTCAAGATATGCTATTGGGTCAGTATATACGACCCTTGACTTGGGAATGGCGGAGGATAAGTGAGTTATAAAGGGAAGGGATCTCAATTGAAACCAGAAATGACTAAAATACATCTTTGACTGGATCTATGAATAAATCTATGACTGGGTTTGGACAGTACTTGCTTTTTAGGCAAAACAATGAATGATGCAATCTGAAGCTGGTATTGCGTCATACATGATATGAATTGCATCATGTTATTCCTAGAAGTCACGGATGATGCAATCATAATGAAGCTTACATCACTCTGCTGAACAAATTGCCCTATATCAACTCTAGAAATCATACAGTGTCGTGCTCTCTTATTTGTCAGTGTTTGATTTTGCAAAGGGACACATTTCTGTTTAGCCAAAGTGAGCAGAGATGCCTCGTACTTGTGTGAACAGTGCAGATAACTTCTGCTATGTTTGTGGTGAAGTGACTTTTGCATCACAAAAGCGCAGTATAACCACTATGGTTAAGAAAGCCTATCACCTTTATTTTGGCTGAAAAATTGGAGATCAGGACAAGAGGTGGGTCCCACACATATGCTGCAACACTTGTGCAACAAATCTTCGCCAGTGGTTGAACAGGAAAAGGAAATCTATGCCTTTTGCAGTGCCAATGATTTGGAGAGAGCCAACGGATCATACCAGCAATTGTTACTTCTGCATGGTGCCTCCAGTTGGGAAAGGTGTGTCAAAGAAGAAAAAGTGGACTGTGCATTATCCAAACATTCCATCAGCTATACGCCCAGTACCCCACGGAGAAGGACTGCCGGTTCCTGATGCACCCGAATCGTTCTCACTTGAGTCAGACGAGGTAGAGGAAGAGGATGAAACTTCTGGTCCTGAACCATCAATGTCACAGGACCCACATTTTCTCCCATCCTCCTCCTCTGAACCACACCTCATAACACAAGGTGAACTGAAAGACCTTGTCAGGGATTTGGAACTACCCAAGAGTAAGGCAGAGCTGTTGGGCTCCAGACTACAGCAGTGGAATCTCCTGGCAGGTGATGTTAGGTTTCCATGTTCCGTGACCGTCAAAAGGATCTTGTCCCATTCTTCTTCATGGAAGGTGATCTTGTAGCCTGCAACAACATCGATGGTGTGATGGCAGCCCTCAACATCGTTCACGATCCAGATGAGTGGAGACTGTTCATTGATTCATCGAAGACGAGTCTTAAAGCTGTTTTACTGCATAATGGCAATGTTTTGCCATCAATTCCAGTTGGTCATGCAGTCCATATGAAGGAAACCTATGACAACATGAAACAACTTTTGAGGTGCATAAACTATGACCAACATCAGTGGCAGCTTTGTGGCGATTTGAAGGTTGTTGCTCTCTTGCTTGGTCTGCAGACTGGATACACAAAGTACTGCTGTTTTCTCTGCAAATGGGATAGTCGTGCAAGAGATTCCCACTACATCAAGAAAGTTTGGCCACTCCGACAGTCATTGGAGCCTGGGAGGAAAAGTGTTCAGCATCCACCACTTGTTGAATCAAGGAAGATTTTGTTACCACCCTTACACATCAAGCTGGGTCTGATGAAGAACTTTGTCAAGGCCATTGACAAAACACAAGCAGCTTTCAAGTACCTCCGTGGAAAATTTCCAAGGTTAAGTGAAGCTAAGATAAAGGAAGGTGTCTTTGTTGGTCCTCAGATTCATGAACTTCTTCGAGATGATGCATTTGACCATGCACTGCGTGGCAAGGAAAAGACGGCATGGAAAGCCTTCCAGTTAGTGGCAATAAATTTTCTCGGAAACAACAAGGCAGACAACTACAGGTTGTTGGTGGAAAACCGCCTCAAGGCATACAAAAGCCTTGGTTGCAACATGTCACTAAAGATACATTTTTTGCACTCTCACCTAGATTTTTTTCCACCGAACTGCGGAGCAGTGAGCGACGAGCACGGTGAGCGATTTCACCAGGACATTGCAACAATGGAGAAACGCTATCAGGGCAAATGGAGCCCATCAATGCTTGCAGACTATTGCTGGACAGTGACAAGAGATGCTCCATTTAATGAATACAAGAGACAAGCCAAGAAGCGCCGAGTAGGCACAGAATAGGACTAAACTATGTACAGAATAGTTTTTTGCCTTTTGTTTCATAATAAATTTTATTTATATAACCCTTTTGCTGATTTTTAAAGTGTTACATAAACAGGACAGGTGAAATATTATCATGTAAAGCAACCATAAACACATGAAAAGACCTAGGTTTACAATTTATGATTAAAACTCTACCATCTACACAATATACATAGACATAAAATGTAAAAACTTAAATATCTTAGAAACAGTAGCCAATCAGTTGTTTTAATTGTCATATTTGAATTCAGCACATCAAAATACATAATAAATAGCACATTTTATCTCTGAAGCAGACGACTTCTCAAAAATTGTAGACCAGTGAAACAGGTTTGGGATCCCCTTGTGCAGGGTATGTGCAGAAGGGTGGATATCAAGGCCCAGCAAAACACACATTTTATAATTCATATACACAGTAAGGAAGACTTTCATATTTTTGCAAAGTAATGTAATAGTTTTCCCCATTAGTAAGGGGAGGATAAGTAAGGATAACAAAGGTAAAGTTAAATTTGGGGTTGGTATCTTGACTCAGAATTCCCACACTTTCTGGAATTCAGGGTTGTTATGAGCTGCAACATACTCTAGATTCCTGGCTTTCAAACTACTATTTTTAAATAGCTAAAGTGTGGTCAATCAGTGGTCTAGTTAGAATCTTAACATTGACAAAGTTTTGCATTTGGCATTCCTCCTCTCCCCAGCTCTCTGCAACACCAATTGTTTTTTTCAGAAATACTGATTAATTCTCTACATGGCTGTTAGAACAAAGGTCTGAGACTGGGTGAGCATTACCAGCTGGTTTGTTTTCCAAAATGCTGTTAGCAGTGCTCAAAAGGTCATACCTGTTAAAGCAGAACAAACACTTTTAAAGGAAAGTCTTCCCAGTGTCACTCTGCTAACCCACTCCAGAAATAATCTCCATTTCCCATTGTGGGCTCTTGTCCCTCACCTCACCTTCATTTCTAAAAATGGAGAAAATGCAGGGATATATGTGTATTAACACTTCTGTCTTTAAGACTTCGTACAATTGTTTAGAATTGTACTAACTGCATAATAAGCATGTCATTTCCCCCAAAATGGCTGACAGAACCAAAACAACCATGAGTCCAAAATGAATACTTAGTGGCCCCAGAGAGGGTGGGAAGGGTAAGAGAGACATCCAAAACCATATGGGTCAACTCATTGGACAAAAAGGGGAGAGACAAAAGGTGGGGGCATTGAAATCTGTTAAAAATATACGGTGATGAAATAGCATAGCGTTATTACTACTAGGGAGCAATTCCGTATCAGATATGAATACATCACCTAATAGGTTTTTTAATTTCTACAAAAATTCACCTTTCATTTCTTCATATGTGATGATCATGATATTCCCTTTGTCCATGTGTTTGTTCCAGGCGAGAGCATTATCAAAACAGGAGCTCTAGCAGACTGAAATTAAATACAAAAGACATTTTAATTTATTTTCTGTTTGTGACTGTAGGGCAGTTCGGCCGGGGCTCGTCCCCCTCTGGGGCAGCGGGGAGCCAGACCGCCTCGCTACTTTGGTCAGGTGTGTCGGGGAATTAGCTTGGCTGTGCGGCAAAGCGTCAGCAGCTCTGGCCCTCTGGCAGGGGCTGAACAAACAGTTCAATAGTAGCAAGCCCAGGCCCTGGGTCAGGGCGGGGCAACAAACAGTCAGTAGCTCAGACCCTCAGGCAGGGGCTGAGCAAACAGGTTGAACAGCAAACCCCAGGCTCCTGGCTCTGAGCGGCCTGGGAGAGGGGGAGACTGCCACTGATGAGTTGGGTGCCGGGGAGACGCAGGCCCACCCACTCCACTGCGTCCCAGCCCAGGGCCCTAGCAGCAGCAGAAGACTCGCTGCTGTCAGGGGGGATCCTGACC